TTTTAAAGGATCTTGAACCTCACCCAGCCAGACTTGGAGCATTCAGAGCAAGTTGGTTAATTGTTAACAGGCTTCATAAGGATACAAGGGGAATTAATCTTCAGGTCACCTCCTCTCCCTTTTACAAGTCCTAAAAAAAAAAAACTCTAGAAAAGCTTAGCTATCCATCCCTTTCCAAACAACAAATGGTGGTGTTTCAGAGTTAGATATGGAAAAAAAACCTGGAAAGGCTTCACACCTTTGAGATCTCCAGCCTGAAAATAAACTGGATAGATATTGGCAAAGAGGTTCTAAAGTTAGTAGGGGAGACAGACAGAAAAACAGACAGTGCAATTACTTCATTTCCACAAGTGATCTTGCAAAAAAAAAAAAACAAAAAAAACAAACCAACAAACCAACAGATTTGATTAATAATTAAAAAACAAACAAACAAAAAGCCCCATTATCTTGAGAATCAGGAATAAGTCTGGCCGGAAAATTCAGAAAGGCCTAGACATATAAACCCAAAGGGTTGTAGGGCAAATTCTGACTTTGAGGTTTTGTTATAGGCCCTCCACATGACTTGGATGGCTACAGCAGAGCCGGCTCTGTCCTGGAGTGGGGAGCTTCAGTGTAGCAGTGGAACACCCGCCTCCCTCTGGGACCTGTCCAGGAGTGCCCAGGCCACAGGGTGGGAACGGCCATCTGAGAGCCCTGGGCCAATTACCCAGTAACACCCCTAAGCTATGAAGATCTAAAGATCCCCTGAATAATCCTATTCAGGGAGAAGAATTATAACCATGAAGAGCAAAACCGAGGGGAAATGGGATCCTTCCTCAGACCCCTGGCAGACACAGAGAGGACAATGGGGAAATAAGAGCTAGCATAAGTCTCCTCGAGTATGTCCTTAGCCACCACAGTTTCAGATGAGTTTCCATGATTTTCTTTGGGGGATTAATTACTTTGCTGCTTGTTACCTTTTGTTAGAGGCGTGACACCAAATAACCTTGTTGTACAAGGTACCAGATGTTTGGATATCAGTTTCGAAAGAAAAACATTTGTTTTCCCAGTTGAGTCTTCAAGATTGTTGTTTTGGTTTTTTTTTTTTTGAGGGGAAAAAAAAAAATCCAACATTAATTTTAAGGCAAGCAGACACCAAAACATGCAACAAATGATATAGATGGGTGCCAAGTACTCTGGATGGAAATTATAGAGTCCTTCCCCCCGCTCATATTTGCTGAAGATGTGTGTCTCCTTACAAATAAAAAATGTATTAAGAATATGTTATGAAAAATAACAAAGAATAGCAGAGAAATCAGAAAGTGAGTGGCACTTCAGATGGAGTTTAGCAAATTAAGTCATTGACCTGAAGAGGAGATTAATACCAAACAAGGTGCCCCTTCTTCTGAAGTAATGAATATTCTTCAAACAGCAAGGGAGCACTGACTGCTGTTTGATGCTGATGACATTGAAAATTTAGGAGAACAGAAATTCCATCATTTTTCATTTGTATGCAAATGCGTCTGTTCCAGAAATTAACCCCTGAACCCCATGTCAGTTTTCATCTGGAGGAATTCTCTTCGCTAGCATCACACAGCGCAGCCTTGCTGCTATCCTGGGGTCACTGGGGCTTCCCCACACAGAACAACACAAAACCCTAAAACAAAACAACAGGAAAAAAAAAAAAAAAAAAAAGGGAAGAAAGCAGGGTGAGGGAAATTGGCCAGATCATGCCAGGCTTTGTTTACCCCCATTAATGGAGTATAAAGGAGCAATAGAAGCAAGAGCACGTTGTAAAATGCACATCTCTAATGCATAGCTCTGGGTACTGGCATAATTGTAATGCTAAATGCAGCCTTACCTCTTTAGGCAGAGCAGCGGCCACTAATCACTTCCACTAGTGCTAAGGTGAACCATGGGCCAATGTACAAACCGTATTACTCTTCCTTTCAGACAGGGCTTCCACTGTTAAAAAGTTCCTTTGTCACTTAGCACCTTAGACAAATGCTACTATCTGCATGTGAAGTGGAAAGAGATGATGGAGGTTTTTTAATTGATGTGGATTTAATTATGCTAATTTAGACAGCTGTAAAGCCTTTTCAGTATAGCAGCATAATGGGACCAGCAAATACAGGTGTCCTTCACTGCAGGCGCTTAATGTTTAACCTTAGTTGTTTTGTAAGAAAGGGAAAATGCAAAGTAATGGTTAACCAACAGAAAGCTCTATTTCTTGAGGACCTAAAGAGGACACTTCACTTTGATTCTCTGTACAATCCCATTCAGGGCTGAAGAAATCCACACAGCAGAGCAGAGCACAAATAGCTTTCTTTGCAATGATGCCTGATCTGATGGGTAAGGCTGAGGCCAAAACAAGAGGGCTCAGGTGTGCCACGGATTTCACCATCCTGCACAGTGTGCTTCACTCAATTTGGACCACCTCCAAACAAATGCTTAATTTAAGACAGACTTTTCATCTTCCTTCTGCAGCCCATTCTTTAATTATTTCTATCCAACCACCTACAGCATCAGCAATGATTAAAACCAGTAAGCAAGATATCTTCTTAGGATGTTCCCTTAGTGTCTTACCTGAACCTCTCTGGGCCTGTTATGCTTCCACCCTTTCCAACATCCCTCATCCCACATCCTATGTCCTTTCTCTAGGCTCAAGCTGACACCCCCAGTGACCATCTTAAGAACCATTTTCCCAGGGTCAGCTTCCCCAGGTGGCACCATACAGCATCAGTACAGCTTGAAGGGAAGACTGTAAATGCTTGGCCAAAGGTGAGGAAGGGATCACTGAACTTTTTCAGCATAGGATGAAACATAGCCCAGATGTGCCTGTATCTCTTCCATGGCCAGAGGCAGTCTCAGTGACCAGCTGCCTTGTGTCAGATATCACCTCAAAGCTATCCTGTTCAATAGCACTTTCTTTTTTGTATGACCATTTCTTTTTTCTTTTTTAACAGCAGTTGCTAATTATTAAATGCTTGTTAGAGTAGTAACAAAAGCTCTGGCATTCAATTTCTGGTGCATATTACTGAAGTAATTTCAGGTGTTACTGGGCCGAACTACACATGATTCCTCACTGGTGCAGCAAGCATAGTCTGCTCAGAAAGTAGCATTCTACCTAGACCATCTTTTTTAAGGACTGCTGCCAAACCAGTGAATGCACTGGAAATATACTCTGCACCATCAGATGGAGCTGATTTGTGTAAAGCAGGAGGGTGAATATTAAATCCAGGTGTACAAAGCTATCTGTTGCTACATCTTCTTTAGGTCTCCCAGAGGCAGCAAGAGCAGAGAAAAGGGGAAAAGTGTTTTCCCATCACGTGACGCAATAGGTAGTCTTTCTCTTTGATGGGAAATGCTCTGCATATCTGTGTCTGTCTCCATTGAGGTGGCATTTGGGTGCTACACTATCTCCAGTAATTCCTAAAGTGCAGTAGAAATGAGCTTTTATCCCATACCACACTGAGGTCATATGATTTGCCCAAGGTCACTGAGAGCAGGGATGGAAATTCAGATTTTGACTTTTCTTCCAGTGTCTGATTCCTCAGTGTCAAATTGCATCCCTTTCTTTCCCCACCCTTTCCTCTCTGTCTGGAGTTTCACCTTATGAGCTCCAGGCACTAGCTATGGCAATCCTCTCCATTTTGGCAGCAGTTCCTGTTCTGGGAAATGTTAGCAACAGGCACCAAGGGGTTAACAAAGTACTGTACTTCAACCAAATTAACCAGCTTCTAAGTCAAGTCTGCAAATTCTGCTGCCTAGATACAGATAATTCTTCCTGAACACTTAGTCCCCTTGTCCCCCCACCTCCTCCTCAGGAACAGCCAACTGCAAAGCACTACATAGCTATTATGCTCATCTGCATATATTATAAGCATTAGCTTGACAAGCTTGCTGGTGACAGTATCAGTCATACTTCATCCTTTTTCTGTGGTCCAAAACTGGATTCAACACCCATGGGCCCATGCTGGGCTCTCACTGCCGCTGAAGGGCCAAATGCCAGCTAATCTGGAAGATATCCTTTCCAACAATAGCACCTTACTTCCTGGCTGGCTTCCCCTGAAGTCTCCTTGGTTGTTCTGGCAGCTGGGACACAGACAACACATTTGGGGTTGGGTCAAGTTTTCCTCTTGGCTGCTTTGAGCTCTTTGATGCCATTTTCCTTGACTTACCCTTGATTACGGCGAATGGTCTCTATTACATTTTCAAATAACCTGATATCCATAAGAAAGGCTTTGGGGTAGGTTTTATTTCAAGTGTTATCCATTCTTACGTTTTCCTGATGCAGAAATGTAATAATTGGTCCTAGAGCCAACCAAATCCTGGTGCATAGCCCAGCAGTATATCAAATTTCTTTTGCATATACAGAATGAAAATGCACAGCCTTTTTAACAGGGACAGCCCATGTACAACATACCAATGTAAGCACTCTGCTCTGTATTTTAACGGATTTTAGGAATTTGTGGGAATTCTCTCTAACATTGGAGAGTAAAAGATCAGAAGAAATGCTCTTGCAAAAAATACAAATGGGTGCTTTGATAACTATAAAGTTGCTTTCTTGGACCAAAAGTCCACATTAGGAACCAAATAAAATATTTAAAGGCAAAAATCTTGCAAAGTTTTCTCCTGTGAAAGGAAAAATATGGTCTATGCTATACCAGACCTTCTTTTGCAAAATATGTTTAGGAGTTGCCATGAAACAAACAGAATTCAAAAGAGCTTGAAAAGTTTTGTTAAAGTTGTATTTATATATATTTCTAGGAATGGTTCATTTGGTTTTTCTTTAAATCCAAGTGTCAAGTTCCATTTCAGACCACATATAAATATAATTTTGCTCTCACATAATGCTTTTGCGTTATAATTCCATTTACTACAGTGGTGTTACCTTTCAGTTACTCTAATAGAAACAAGAGCAGAATTATGCCGATTAAAAAAAAATCTGCTTAGAGAAAGAAATACAGAGAGAAAGAACACAGAAATAAATACTTTCTCTGGCTTATTTAATATAGTTGTTTGTCCAAATTGTAACAGAGATATTTATTTCAAGAACTATTGTTTGATCAGCAAGAGTAAACAGTGATATATCTTTTAAGTCCAACAAGCAGTTTTTACAATTCATCAAACAACACCTACCTAAGATTAAGTTTAGTTGGTCAACTAAAAGAAACAAAAAAAGGTTTCAGGTCATATAATTACATCCTTCTGTTTCCCAACTTTCTTAGAAATCTCTGTCTAAAAATAATTCCAGCATCCAGATGTCTGAAATTTGGCTTATTTTAAAACATATAAAAACTCTAATTTCATCCTTAGCCATTTTAAGGTCTTGGTGCTTGCATGAAGTAATAGTGCTTAGCACTACTATATACCGCTTTCCATCTCCAAAGCACTTTACAAACATTAGCTAATTAATCCTCACAACACCCCTGTGAGGTATGTAGGTAAGTATTGTCATCCAATTAGGTAAGTATTAAGCACTGTTATCCCACCAGATAAGTATTAAGGTCTCCCATTTTACTGGAGATCCTGAGGACAACAGGTTAAGTTACTTACTAAAGGTCACAGGGGGAATCGGTAGAATAAAACTTGGGATGTTCTGGTTTCTTGATGGCTATTCAGACATCCGGGCAGAATCCGGTGCTACTACCTCAACAAAGGCATCCATCAGCATCCACATGGAAATTAGGGCTTTCTACAACCCTCCAAGACACAGAACCATGAGTACGAGGCAGTGAAAAGATGCACCTGAGAAGCACAGCTTCCCCTGTCTGAAGTGGGCAAAGATGCTATTGCCTAGGAAATTTCTCAGGAATTTCTTTAAGAATAAAGGTCTTGGACCGAGGTGTTTTCCTGTGAGTGCATGTGGACATGCGTTCAAATGTATTGTTAAGCCTCACCAGTCAAAATCCCCTTTCCCCCCAGATTTACTTTTATTTTTCACTGTTTTGTAAAGATGGACTCATATTAAAGTCTCACATCAATGCCACAAATATATAAGCCAATTGATCATAATTTGCATCTTCTTAACACGGAAAAGTCCAAACTGAAGCCCCAGCTCAGAGGCTTCCAGGTTTGTCAGTAAGCTTGAATCCACAAATATACTTGATAATCCCTTTCAGAGGATCTAGAAAACAGGACTAGCCCAGCACATTTTGGGGTTTAACCTAGTCTCAACAGATATCAATCTGTTGAAATAATATCATCCATTTCCCCAGAGACAATGCATGTGAACATCTGCTTCTTATTTCACTTGGCTGGTAGGGAAAAAGTGAAAGCTCCTACTGTAACTTCACTTGGAGCTGTGTTTGCAAGTTAAGAGAGTCTTGCTTTGGAGTCCTATGGGTTTTATGAAGTTACTGAATTCTAGATCAGCATATGAAGACCCCAGAAAAGCAAAACTCACCCCTAGTGAGCTTGTTACAAGCTGCAATACCAGGCAAGGCATATTGCAGGGTCTGCTCAAGGACCCATCATTTTCTGATACATGATGGACAGTCATGACTGTCCTCTCCTCAGCAATTTGGCATTTGGCTAGCGGCAATGTCATTCTGAGGGAGCAGCCCCAGTGTGACAGCAGCTCTTCTTCTGAAGGCAGGGGACCGTCATAGCGTTGCTCCAGCTCTAGCTGGAGCTGAGGCAAATCCCAAGCATGTAAAAAAAAAAACAAAAAAAACCCAAATAAAAAGAAAGAAAAAGACCTCAGCTAGGTTTCAGCTGAGCTCATTTATGTTTTTCAAGTGGAAGGTGGTTTTAGTTGAAGTAAACGACACAGTTTTTAGATAATTCAAAATTCATGGCAGTTTGATCCCACAGGGCGTCAAACAAGCATAAACGATTTGCCAACAATCCCTACAAATTGAAATAACCAAACCTTGCAGAGTTCCAGCAAAAGTCTTAATCCAGTTCTAAGAAAGAAAAAAAAAAAGAATAAAACAAAACATTTTTGTTTTACTCATCTATACAAAAACATTTTCAGTACAATACATGCTAAGATCAAATGCATAAAAGGTAGCCCAAACATTTAACATCTTGAAAACTCAAAAAACCTGAAACCCACAAACCAATTAACAAATAAACAAATGAGAATAAGAGTCAAGGAAAAGAGAAGCAAATTTAGATTCTAATGCATTCTGTTGTAAATCTAAGAAAATTAACACAAAATGCAGGTAATAGCCATATCATGTATGTTACAGTTGTAAGAAAAAAAAAAAAAAAGGCAACCAAACCTGTGACAAGAATGTGCTTAGTTATTATATTCTTTTAAGCTTGGTCTGTCGGAATTTTTTCCTTTTTTTTTTTTTTTCCTATGTACTGGTCATCAGTGTCTGCCAAAAGACTTTTCATGAATTTGTGCCATCCCATTTCACCAAAACAGAGGAAATTATGTTTCCTCACAACCTAAAGACTCACGCGTAGGTTTTACACCATGATTTGTGCCTGTAAGCTAACACAGTGACATGCCATTCCCCTGCCTAAATAATGTAGACCAAGCGAGTAGTTAAATTTCAGTGTGGGTTATGCAAAATGAAAGGATTAAAAAATGAAAAGAGCATTCATGTCATGTTGCTCCTTTAAAACGTTATCACATAGCTCCTTTTTTTTTCTAACCTGGCCTTTTTTTCCCCTAATGGTTTATCTATAACTTAATATAACTAATTCTTTTGAAATAACATTCACAGTTAGTATAATTGGTGTTATATAGTTCTGATGTACATTACAGAATATTCTGTCACTAGACACTAAATTGAAATTTTAAAGAAAATGATAGAAATAGCTGTAAGGGAAAAAGTACCCTTTTAAATCTAATTTGCTATGCACCACAGTAGGGTAATGGATGCAATGAAAGTTCCTTTATTGAGTTCCCATGTCCAAAAGGTATTTAGGTAGCAAAGGATGTTAAGCAGACCCCCTGTGCTCCTCCTTTAAGTAAAGATAGCAGGAAATAAGGTATATAGGTTTGTGTCCTCCTGATTTTTATTTCCTCAGGAGTACAACTTATGCAAAGGGCACCTTAGGCTACTTGGAGGATCACAAAGGGTGCCCTCGACCCCCTTGCTGTCTGCATGAATAGAAGCATCTAAAGGATGGCTGAAGCCATACAGCGAGTTAAATCCTTCAGGTGGGTCTTTTCAAATTCCAATAGTGAGGAGTTACTGGAGAATTGGTAAGGATTTCACTAGGCCCCAGCAGGTTTGAGATCAAAAGCCCTGGTTAAATAAAAGCCTGTTGGGAAATCTTAAAACCTCTTTGTAATGTAACTTAAAAAAGTTAATACAAAGAGCCCTTAGACTGAAGCCTGTAACAGCATGAACAAAGAGTATATCAAAACTGATTCCATTAAGGGAAGGTAGACAAATAATTTCATTTAATTTAAAGAGAAATTATATATATCACTCTGCTAAAAACTAAAAAGCATACTAAAAGAAAAAAAAAAGCAAAACACCAACTACAGAGACTTTATAATACATACACACACAGAGAGCTGTGAATAATAGAAATATATATATAATCTAATTATAAATATATTTCAGAACAGAGAGCAGAACATTATATATGCATGTATATGTTTTAAGTATCAATTCATCCAATATGTGCACGTCTGTGTATGTATAATTCTAGTATACACCTATTTTTATCATTTATGAGGCCTCATGCTGGGCTTTCAAATCTGCAGTTAGATACATCTATATAAATATCCAGAAAAACACAGCTGAAAGAGCCCCTACATTCAAACTGACACAAGACATTTTTTCAACCCAATTAATTAAAAAAGACGGGTGCTCATCAGTCAGCTGGCACAGGATTTTTCTCCATCATATTGCCAAAGTGTCATAGTGTTAGTTGTGCAGCATGTTTGAAACAGAAAATCTGGGACTAGGTTTTAGATATCATTTATTATCTGACCTCTTTCTGTGCAGCTCTTATACTTTTAACTCATTGGGAGTTCTGCACCAGAGGCAGGGGGGTAGGAAGGGAGAGACACATAATTATGTAGAATCATTTCTGTTGGAAAAGACCTTTATGATCATCCTTTTGGTGATGTTTGAAGATCTCCTGTTGGATGTCAGCTGCACACGCGCAGGGGGTTCGTGCAATATTAGCACAAAGTAATCTACCCTGTGAGCACCCTACTAGCAGGGGATGGCTTTGTCACTACAACATTGTCCTTGGGCTGAGGGGACCATGGCTGGGGATCCCTCACTTCACAATGGAGTCAGGTCACTTGAGTGCAGGATGCTCTGGACCCCCTGGGAGGAAGGAGAGTGACATCCTGTTGCCCCATGGCTCATTCTCCACTATGGAGTCACTAACAATTTTGCACTCTGCACACCTCAAGAAAAGAGAGAGGCTGAATTTTATTGCTTTGAGGAGGTTTTTCTTTATTATCATGGTGGGGGAGATGTGGCTATCTCATTAGGTAAAAAGCATATTTTCCTGTTTAAGAAATTATATTCCTCTCCCAGATTTCACAGGCTGTACAGCTCGAAGAGGGAGATGTATGCATTGTACAAAAGAGGGTGAATGCCTGAAAGAAATGCTGTTCATGTTCTACAGGATTTTTTTTTTTTTACGTTTTTCCTTACAATTAAAATCTGACATTTTCATTCAACAATGCTAATCCTGTGCTCATTATGTTCACATATAGTGGGGGAATGGCATCCACTCACTCTCTAAACCTAGCTTCATGCTACCAACCCATGAAAAAGCTGCCCCTAAAGCAGGCACAAATCAGTCTGTCCCTATACTCTCTAAGAACTATTTTTCTGAAGATAAGAAATCAGCAACGTATCTCACATGGTGCCTTTCATCCCAGAGAGCAGCAATAGTTTCACAGCCTACACCAATGTCATTAATTTTATTGTATTCTTTTTTTTTTTTTCAGACCCCTAAAATACACAGCAATTCAAAGCCTTTTAACTATAGGCATCAATATAATTTTATGTCATTTCTGTTTATCTTGGGTGGATCCTATCAAATTAGTGAAGGGACCACAGTTTATCAATCGATCATCATTCTGTGCACAAAATCACTGTGGCATCTTCTGAAGAGCTGCCCTTTGCAATAGCAACACCAGAAAACTGCCAAAATGAAGAATGCCAGATTGAGATAGGACCATGAGGGAAACCCAGGCAAAGGGTATTGATATTTAGGGAACCTCGGTCTCAGTGCTGTGACTGACATCCTTGCCCTAGCAACAAGTATCTAATAATCACAAGAGATAAACGTCACTTTTGGTTCCTTGTTTGCGAGAAAATAGAAAGCACTGTATCTAATACAGCTTCTGCATAGCTGGCAATTTTTAGACCGGTAGAGGATGAGGTTTTCTGGTTCAAATAGGAATTAATTGAGGCAAGTCATATGGCTTATGTTATACACGTGACACCAGATGATCCAAATAGTCCTTTCTTGGCCTTATAATCTACACATAACCTTGTGGTGGTACTGCTCTCCTGTGGATTAGTGGCAAACCAATGCTCCTCTTGCTTGGATGAGTTTTCTGATCTAAATACTATCCAGACCTGTGTGGCCTACAGGATTTCACTGGATCACAGTCTCAGATGGAACTATTGCCAATTAATGCCAGACATCCGATAAATGGGGGTAGGACACTTCAGGTGCTGGGTGATTCCAGAGTATCATTAAGCAGCTATGTAACAAGCCAGGTCTGAAGAAAAATAATTTTGCTATAAGGACACTTACAAATATTATTTTATACTTGCGATCTTTACACTACATTGCACTGTAAAAGACCCACTTTCAGACACCATAGCGCTCTTTGGCTCGAATTAACGAGATTCACTTGCAAGAGCAGGGTATAATTGTGGCCATTTTACAGACCATAAAAATTGTAAGATTCCAGAATTACATGGGTAACAGGACAACCTATTCCCATATGGAAAAAGGAGCATATGGGGTCTTGTCTATCTTGTTTGGATTACAAAGCAGAGAAAATACCTGGCTGAGCAGTGCTCAGGAATTATCAGGTAGATGATATCACAGGAGCAAGCTGTGTCTTTATTCGCTTTATAAGGATGCCTCTGAGTTCAGGTTGTTCTGAGTTACATAAATGCTAAGCTTCCTCCAGACTAGCTCCACAGCCCTGATTGCTCTAAATTCTTTGTTGTGACAGGTCAATGCCATTTTCAGAAAGCTGGTAAATCCATGATGGAAAGCCAGGCTGTACCCCCCCAAATGAGACGTGAGCTCAAATTCAGTCTCCACCTCAAAGTCAACTAGAAATATTTCTTAAATGCAGATATCCTTATTTCTGTCCTTATCGTTAACATTGCTTTGTTTTAATCCCTAGGGATAATCTGCTATGTGGAAGGAAATGTGTCATTTATGAAGTCAGAAACTACTTCCTTTAGCATCTACAAAAATTTCTTCTGAGTTTTCCCATTCAAGCACCAATGTTACTTAGATTTGCAGGCTGAGACCATAGCAAAAGGTGGAAAAACTTACAGTCATTACATTGATTAATCAGCTGCTGAAATTTGGCTTTTCAGCATGACACCTCTGTTCTCTGAATGTGTGGCCTGCTGCAATGTAATCAATTTGTCTGAGCAGGCTCCAAAACCCCAGGGCCACACAATGCAAAGAGGCAATCTTCTGCCCTCTTTGACCACAATA